CTTTACTCTTATGCAAAGTATGTATTTTCTCCCTTATCCTGTATACTGTGCATATCAACTTGGATATGATTGGTTTGAAGACATGCACCAACTATCTACTGAACTACTTCTCTCATCCTTAATATTTCCCAACAACCTTTCACTAAATCAGAGTCCAATCGCCGCCTAGTTTCGTCATTTTAATGTGAAAATGCGTGCGTTCATAGTTACTATTGAATTCGTTGCGAGTAGTTAAAGCTCGGTTATCCCCTCTCCTTTTTTTAAAATTTATTTATAGGCCAACGTACAAGGCCACGACTTTGGGGAAACCCGAGGTCAAAGTCCAAGGCCCGTTTTTCGTTTGGGGTCGACACCATGATCGAGCGAGTAGATCACTCAGTGGTGTAATCAACGGGCGTTACCCGGGACCGCGTCAGAGGCACATGCACATAATGCACCCGAAAGCCTAGGAATATATCTGGATCTGCCAGGTATTTTACCTAATAGCACCACAACAAAGCACGACCAGCACGATGACCTGCACAATACACTCATCACCTACACGTGGGAGACACTCACATTACAGGGATATTACGCCAAACTCACTAATACTTCCGATGCCCTACTTAGCACCCCTTATACGATCGTGACAAGAGCGCGTACGCAACTTAACTGCCACACGATCCCTGAAGACCCTTGCACCCATATGTGCAGAATTGCGCACACTTGACCAGTCAGCTTACCACATTTATCAAATAGGCGTTGCGTTGATATTCAACTTTTTCATTATTAAAGACTACCATAAAATATCGTTCTTACATATATAAGTAAAGATTTTTGTTTTGCTTGCTTGCTTACTTGATTTTGTAAAATTTTGAAATGCATAATTTGTCATCTTTCAGAATAAATTAGGTTTTTTGGAATACAGCATCTTTCGCTCATCACTTTATGACTTATGGTACGCTTTGGTTTTGCTTTGTTCGCATCTCTCAAATTACAATAGGGCCACGCCTTAGTTACGGTACCAAAGTGACGTAACAAGGGAAAATCCAAAGGTCGCGACTTTGGGGAAAAGTCCAAAACTAAATACCATGACCTTGGACCAGAATCCAAGGACACATCTTTGGTCCAGCATCCAAGGACCTTGGGCTGGGGTTCAAGACCGCGACCTTCGAGAATCTCAGAGTCATGACGACCTTGGGCTTTCTATTGGCCAGTTTGGAATTTAGCTCCAATATGGCGACCGGAACCAACGACCAATTAAAACGGGATACCCTGCTATCGCCACTGTACTAAATTGGGTCACTGTAGAAGTGGGGACCTTTGGCAATTGGCGCATTCCGTTTTATGGCGATTTATTTGAAGGAAGGGTTTATTTTATGGTGGAAGTGGTGTTTCCTTAAATCCCGGAGGCAACGCTGCTGTGAGTTTTTGCGACGGTAAAAAAGTGTCCAATTCTGTTAATACTAAATTACCGACAGTCAGCTCAATTTGTTTTCATTCTTAGCGCATTTTTTCGAAAAAAAAAAACGCTATTATATTCGTTATGGCTGGTTGGCTGACTGTCTGTCTGGCTGGCTGTCCGACTGAGATCTCGGCAATTACAATAGCCAGAGATAAATTTTCACTACAAATTTTCTGCTATAGTGTAATGTGCAGGATCTAGTCTATTTTGAGTTACATTACTGGTGAGACCGATAAAATGACAAATTTTATTTGAATTTGATAAAGAAAGCTTTTAATAAAAGTTTGATTTGTCGTTTTGAACTTGGTTAATAAAATACCGATCTGTAATACAAAAAAATGCGCTTTAATTATGCATATGCTGATTTACTTCTGCTTGTTTTGTAATAAATCTGTGCAGAAGCAAGTTAACCAAAGTTGTGTGAGAAGTTGAACGTATGTTGACCGTTTATGGATAAAGCTTTGACAAGTTAAAAAAGTAATCGTAAACGATTTACGAAAAGCGCATTTCCATTTGCATTCATTTCCCATTTGTAAGATCCAACTTCTATTAAAATCGTAAAAATCCGGTCACAAATACGAAAGATAGAGTTGCATAGGTGCAATCAATTTTAGACGTCCTACTTCAATTTCAGTGTGTAAAAAGAATTTCATTTCAATACTTTTCTAAATTAGAAAGTTGGCACTGCGCATGCGCAAACCTAAATTTGGAAACTAACGTTAGATTTTCGTTTGTTCCAAGTGGCTATGTATCACATTTCATTTAAATCCCTCCAGAAATAAGAAAATTGGCACTGCGCATGCGCAAAACCACATTTTGGTACTGGCGTTATATTAGATTTTCCTTTATTCCAAGTTTTATAAATAAAAAAGTGAGCAATTCGGTTTATAAATGGTCGAGATGCGAAAAGGGCACTGTGAGTTTTGAATCGATTCGACTCAACTTATGGTATTGCGTATTATATGGCGGAAGCTATGCCCATATTGAATTTCATGCAATTCAGTTAATAACTAACGGAGATGTAAAATCGATCGAACATTTCTAAACAAAGTTATCGGTCACACGAACAGATAGAGGGACAGACAGACAAAGGAACAGACGGACAGACCAACAGACAGATGACAGACAGCAATACAAAATTATAAACGATCTCTAGGATCGTTAATAAACGGCAAAAGTGTAAAATTATGGAACATGTAAAAAACGGTTTTTTTGTTTTTTTACAAAAACTTTTTTAGCAATAAACGCAGAAAAAATTCCTTCCTTGGTGCAATCCTCGATACCATAACGAACTAAATAGCGAAAAAAGTAGAACAATAGCTCTTAAGATAAAGAACTAGTAGCGTCTCAACGAACGAGCGGACGGACGAACGGACAAAGTGGCCACAATAGCGCATTTTTTTTAATTTTTCTGGAAATGCACTAAAAAGGAAGCAGTGCAAAACAGTGACGCTTTTCGTTAAGGTTTTTGTCTTCTTAAAAGTAAAAGGTTTTATACCGTTCGAACCCAGGTTCGAACCGGTTCGAACAACCACCGAAAATTTGTTCATCTTATTTATGAAGTCAAATTTGTTTGTCATCAAGTTCAGTGTTCAAGAACCAGTTGAGTTTTCAGAAGCTGTCACCGATTATGCGTGAGTGATGTGCGCTTGTTATCGCATATTTTTTCATTTCCTTCGGAAATAGTTATTTACATTATTAGTGCGGGAACAGTTATTTTGAAGATGAGCGCGAAGTTTGGCGGCGCGAGTGCGCAACGCGCACGAGCGACGCATCTCGCGCGAATCAAGCAAATACTGTTCACGCACGTAACATGTATTCTATTTTTTGCACGGATTAGTTAAATCGAATTTATATAAATTCAAATCCTTTTCGCGAGATTTTTGCGACATTATAATTCTTTTGAAAAAATCAAGTCCTCTATGCCGATAAAGTAGAAATTTAAAATGTCAATTTATTGTTCAAAACTTCTGGTTTACGCTTATTTTTGCCCGTGGACTACAGGGAATGATGTAAAGTGTATTTATTTTTTATTTTTTACTCTTCCATCATACTACTTTTTAGTTTATGATCCGCACTAAATAGATAATTTCGTTGAATTTTTAGGCACTAGTGCGCGAAAGTAGATAGTCAATTGTAAAATTGACGTTCCCGACGTTCGTGTTTTATTGGGAAAACGCGATTTAGAACGAAGGAGTGCAAAAAATGTTTTGTCATTGGTATAATTTTAATCATAATTAATTGTGTGTTTATTCGAATCCATTGTGTGACCCGCACAGAGTTCTTCATGAAGATTTTTCTATTGGTGCCCAAGTAGTGACTGCACGCCATTGCACACAGCAGCACATTATTCCTTTCCAGGGTGCCGTGTTCACGTAAATACTATCATTGCAACCAAGAGCATTTAGAAAGTCCTTGAGACCTATCGTCATAATTTTTAAGCGGATTACCAACCTTGATAGGTGAAGGGTGAATTTTTACTCGTTTTGTGTTTTTCTTACACGGTGACCTAACGCCTGAGTTATAACTCCTAATTTTAGTAAAACCGGAGTTATGCGTCGTGTAAATAGTCATATAAACTGGTTTTATAACGTCGGTTTTATAACTCTACACCGCTCGTGGCACAGGCGTGACGTTATAAAGCCGGTGTTATTATGCGTGTAAACTACGAGTTTTATAAATCCTATTTGCTAGTGCTACCAACTGCGATTGCAGTCAGGCAGGCGGCAAAACTGCAAAATATCATAACCTAACAAACTTACCTTACCTTCACAAATCGTATGTGATTTGTGCTTACCTTCTATTTACGAAATTGGTTGAAAATGTGCTCGAATAAAAATAAGCGCGATGCATGGGAAGTAGAAGAAACTCGTTACTTTTTACGACTGGTTAACGAGAAAAAAATTATAAGATGTTTAGATGGGAAAAAATTTAGAGCACTGGAAGTGTTTGAACAATTGGTGGAGCCTATGCATAACTCTGGTTATTTAAAAACCGCAAAACAAATGCAAACCAGGTTCAAAACATTAAAGAGTAAGTATAGGATTTACCAATGCATTTTATAGTCAACCCAAGTACTGCGTGAAGTATACACACGGAGTAATCAGAGTTTTCAGTAACTGTAATGCCCAGGCATTTTATGATACTTATTTCTTATAGTGCAATACAACCAATGTAAACGAGATCTAACAAAAAGTGGAGAAGGAAGTTTATAACCTCAAACTGAACAGCGTGAAGTTGACAGCACTAAAGTTAACGTTGGTTAAAATGGTTTCTAGATTTCTTAATATGCTAAATTCAAACGGGTGTTATAACTCCAGTGGAATTTATAACTTCACAGTCGTGTAAACAGTATACCTAAACTAGGAGTTATAACGTCAGGATTTATAAAACCAGCGTTAAGTCACCGTGTAAACGTAGTCTCTGATTCGATCATTACACGTGAGAAAAAATGCTTTATATTTCCTAATTTAACCACCATCGTACCTGCATTAATAACAAAGTTAGCAATACTGCCGACTTCAATTTGAGCAAATATTAATACTTTTCTATAATGTTCTCGAAGGATTGCGTTTAATTAATTTATACATTGTGAATCGTACTTAACTTAAGCCAGTTTTTATAACGGTGCTACACTAACTACAAGATCAAATTTTATTATGATTATACTAATAAACAAAAAAAGCATGGAGATTAGTTTATCAATATGAACAGATTTTCTCAGTCTACAGTTGCACTAAATGCCTTCTTATCTACATACTATATTTTAATCCTATTCGCTGGCAAGCCCCGAACACCTAAACCTGTGATTTTATAAATATGCCCTTTAATACAGTCTTCTTCTCCTTCAGTAGGCCACGCAATATGACTAGCACTTGTTACGTACAGTTCATCCAAAAGTGGGCCACCAAAGGCAACTGATGTTATCTAAAACGCATTAATAGTTTACAAATTACATAATTCCTTTATGGTACCTGGAGGTCTGGAATGTTTACGGTATCCAGTAACGTTTCAGGTTTAGCGGAACTAACTTTGATCACTCTCTTTCCGCGAAACACGGCGACCCATAAATTTCCATCAGCATCAATAGTTTGGCCATCCGGAAAGCCTGGAATGTTATGCTTTTCCAGACTAAATAGTGGTTGACGATTAGCTATAAATAAACAATATAGTTATGGAAAACGATGTGGTAATGCGTACTGATAGACGCGTTAGTTGCATCAAAGTCGTATTGATCTATTCTTCTTTTAACCGAATCAATGTAATACATTTTTTTTAAATCGCTACTCCAAGCAAGCCCGTTTGATATGCCCACATTTTCTTCAAAATATCTGATTTTTTTATTGGAGCTCAAGCAAAATAGAGTGCCCGTTCTTGGACCGTATGGTGTATCGCCGTCAATGGCCATAGTGCCTGAAAGAGAACGTGCGTATTTAACCTTCCCTTATCTTTCAGTTCTATTTCAGTTACCTGCCCATAAGTTACCAAGAGGGTCCACTTTGCCATCATTTATTCTGTTATTTTTTAAAGCGTTGTCGGTATCAACAATAGCGATCGTTTCTATACTAGTAGGTCTGGAACTAACACCATCCCAGGTAAGGACGGCTACTTCTCGTTGCAAAGTAATAATGAAACGATCAGACGAACCACTTATGGGCACAATTAGAGATGGAAATTTATCTGAAAGTAATTCACATAGATATCCACTCCTGTAGGTTGGGTAAACATTTTTCTCAAATTTTGGTGATTGTATAAGTAAAGATAGGCATAGTTACGTATTAAATAATTTGATCTACTTGCCCACTTTTATATGAGTATGCTTTTTAAGAGATGGTATGTATTTATGAATCGTCTTCTTTACGATATCCACCCAGTATAAACTTTGCGATTCGTTATCCCAATGGGGTCCTTCACCAAGCTCAAAGCAGCCTAATTCTCTAATTTTCTCGATAACAGGCGCCATTGGAGTGCGATTCTAAATAGTCAACAATAGATTATTACATAAACATAATTTTGATAGCGAAAGGTAGAGATATACACAATAAGCGAGGATTGTATGATAATTTTGTAAAAAGAAAAAAAAACAAAATCCCAATTTTAAGTTTAAAATTTACATTTCCTAACTGCGTAATAATTTAATAAAATCGCTGTAAACTTACTCAGGTATATGTGCAAGTAAGATCGGCAGTATAAATTAACTAACTGTCCCTACTTACACCTATTCTTATATGCTCAACGACTTATTATGTTGTAAATGGATGTACCGAGACTGGTTATTAGGGTCAATTGAAGAGATAATCCCTATTTGTTGTTTGAGGCCGGTAATCACATTACATACATACATATTTTTGGTTCCTTATCTCATGAAAGCTACGTGGGATTCTAAATCCCTTTTTCTACGTCACCCTTGTAACAGATTTTTGATATTCTTTAATTACTAATAATTACGGCACGGCACCAGAAAATACTAAAAATACCTATCACGTATTTCTACAATTAGGTATGCAAAATTCGAGTATTAACAAAGGAGTTACTCTTTGGTATTAAATCAAAAATCTGTTACAATAGAGTCAGATCTGTCCTTTATCGGTACCTAACATTCAGAGACTTACAAGTCTATGCTTACATCAAGGGATAACATCCAATGTACTGAAAAGTCCCAAATCTAACATGAAAACTCTATCCGGATCACACAAAGGATTCGAATAAACACGTAATTAATTGATTGACAATAATAAAAATCTATTCCCAAACACATGAAATGAAAAATTGAAAAAAAATTCCCGAATGAAAGAATCGCTTACGAAACTTAAATTTGGACAAATTACCACGCACTAGGCGGTCGTAAGTTAAAAATCGGAAAAATCTTAAAATTAGTTTTGTCTCTTACTAATCTGGTCGTACGTACAAAGATTTGCGATAACAAGGTGCACTTAACTTCACCCGGAAACGCTGAGAGGTGTTAAACTTCATTTTTTTTTAACACACAAAACTACTTAATGACAAACAATATTAATTTGATGAATAAAATGACGAGTTGTCGGTGGCGCTTCAGACAGGGCAGACTTTTCACTTTTAATAACAAGAGAACCTTAATAGAAGGCCTCAAGGTTGCATTAACTGCTTGATTTTTCAACTTGACACACTTCTTTCACAAAGCGGATAATCCGCTTTAAACTTTTCACACAACTTTTATTTGGTTAACTTGCTTCTGCACAAAATAATGATGATAATGACAAACTGCACCTTCAAATAATCAAATCAGGCGGACTGCACGAGTAAAAATAGGGTAAAGAAACGTACACGCTTTCCAACCGTCGGGAACCAGCCACGTTTTTTCCTTGATTGCAGCATTTAACGAAACACCACTTCCACTACCTATAAAAATCCTAAACACACTAGTCAGTTTTCGACGATCAAGAATTCAATATCAATAAGATCCATTTTGAAGACACAAAGCAGTATTACAGAAGTTTGACAATGTACTTCCAAACCGTTTGAAAAATACGTTTACGTGTGAACAGATCTACTCGTGTTGCATTAGAGCATAGCTACGCCCAGTAATAAAAACGACTCACTCGAACGAGGATACGCGCGGTGTTGGATGCCGATTTCTCGGAAAGAGCATAAGTGTCAATGAGATTTGTTTGTATTGAAGCATCTGGTGAGGCGGCGGCCAATTCCCAATGTCCTACGTGAGCGGCAACATGCGGCCGGCGCGGTCGTCGCGTTGTAGACGGCAAACGCGACCAGAGCGTCTTACGTGCAAGCACCGAACATAAAGTGATGCAAGCGCATGTTGTTAAGACTGAAGCGACAGACACGGAAATATCAAATATTTTGACCCGCTGTGCCGCCTCAAAAACTCTTGAGCCAATAAACTATCATGCTTTGATATATCCGCGAAGACCGCGCCGTCCGCATGTTGCCGCCGCTCACGTAGGACATGCGTAACTTATGCCGAATAATGCGCAATATACAGGGTGTCCCTAAAAGGTCTGTACAACGCGCTACCAGGGGTTCTTGGTATCAAAATAGGACGATTTAACCCAACTTACCTCTATCCAAAAGTGCTTCGGTAAGGCGCTATCTACCGCCAAAGATTTAAAAAAAAAATTTTATTTTTATTTTATCGGAAAATGGTTTTGCCGATTAAAATGAAATTCGGGATGTGAATGTCTGATGTAAAAAGGGTCTTTGTGATATCACCGTTTTGATTGTAGTTGCTATGTAGGTGGTAAAATACTGACCATCCGCATCTGAAGACGTCTAAAACTTTTTAACTACTATTTTGACAGTTCTGAATTTTTGGACACTGAGAGACAGTTTACTTGCAAGCATTTTTTGTCTCTTGATGAATATCGCTATCTGTGATGGGTTACGAAAAAAAAAAATTTACGCATCATGAATGGCATGCATCATACATGCGATTGTTCCTCAAAAACCATAAGTGCAAGCAAGAAGCATGTGAGTATACTCTCTAACGCATTGGCGACCATTTCCACGACAGTATCTAAACACATAAGCATATCAGATAACTGCGTTACTGTATTGAAAGGCCATACTACAATTTTAACAATGAAATTTTAAATCTTCAAGCAAAACGTAAATTGTTAATGTTTAAGAAACAACAAACAAACGGTACGCCACTCTAAGGTTTCACAGCCATCTTCTGATTTTTTGAGGAACAATCGCATGTATGGTGCATGCCATTCATCATGCTTAAATTTTTTTTTTTTTCGTAAACCATCACATCGAGCGATATTCATCAACAGACAAAAAATGCTTGCAAGTAAACTGTCTCTCAGTGTCCAAAAATTCAGAACTGTCAAAATAGTAGTTAAAAAGTTTTAGACGTCTTCAGATGCGGATGGTCAGTATTTTACCACCTACATAGCAACTACAATCAAAACGGTGATATCACAAAGACCCTTTTTACATCAGACATTCACATCCCGAATTTCATTTTAATCGGCAAAACCATTTTCCGATAAAATAAAAATAAAAATTTTTTTTTTAAATCTTTGGCGGTAGATAGCGCCTTACCGAAGCACTTTTGGATAGAGGTAAGTTGGGTTAAATCGTTCTATTTTGATACCAAGAACCCCTGGTAGCGCGTTGTACAGACCTTTTAGGGACACCCTGTATACTTCGAATCATCTACGACCTTGTTATCAGCACCAAATGTGCAGTTTCAATTAATTAACTTTCACCTTAAAGCGGAACTCCACCAAAGCAACATTTGTCAAGGACACTGTCGTCGACAAATGTTGATAACAAATGTTACAACAAATTTGAAATGTTTGCGACTTTTCATGACCGTAGTCGCCGACATTGTTGACTGTTTCTCTCTGAAGGCGGTACATCAAAGAAAATCAATGTCGACAACAAATTTTTGAAATACGGCTCCACCAAATGCACGTGTGTTGTGTCGTGTTTTGCTGATTTGCTCCCAATCGGTTATTGCGCAGATCATTCATAATATCATTGAATTTATAACTATCAGAAGCGCGGGTTAAATGGCAGGATATGTGACTGTTTTCAATAGTTTAAATTACAAGACGTAGATGTCTCTACCATCGAGAAAGATGAATAATAATGTCAGTTTTTTACCTTTGTTAATTATTATACAGGAATCTGTAATGAACCCACTATCTCGATTTGTAATTGTTGTATACAGAATTCTACATACCCAAGAAACGTACTTATAAGGCATTTATGTGGCACACAGGATGTTGAATGACGTAAGATAAACATTCTTCCTTTCATGAATCGTGACCTACTTAACATTCCTTAAGGAAGATTGAATTACATTTGAACAGGAAAGCAAAAAATACGCAGGCATCCTTGATCACTGTAACAGAAATTAAATGTACCTACCTATCTATTCTTAATTTTTGTGTGTGTCGGTTAAACCGTTGCCACCGGTTAAACTACCTAAGACAGGGGTCGGCAACCTATTGAAACGGAAGAGCCAAAAATTACAATTTACAAAATTTCCCAGTTCTTAAAGAGCCACAAATAATTTTTGATTCAATATTATAGTTTTTGGCTATACCTATACAGGGTCCTGCAACAGTCCTTCGGTTTTTCCTACATAGCTGATAGATACCTGGTAAAAATATTGGTGGTTGCGGATCTACAGAAATTATTTTTGAATGTACAGGGTGTTCCATTTTTACGATGTCAATTAATAACTGACCTTTTTAAATAGAACATCCTGAATATTTGGTTGTTTCAATGCCGTTTGTTCAAAGTGCTATAACTATTCTTTTTCAAATGGAACTACCACTATTTTATTTCGCTATTCGCTTTTGTCTTCTCTTAAATGTTTATAAAGGGTGCCCTGTGCTTAAACTCCGCAGTGTTTAGGTTATTCAATATTTTTCACAAAAGTACCTACTCATTAATTAATTACGTGTTTATAGATCGGAGTAGGCTGGCTATAATAAAAAAAACAAAAGAATACCAGAAAGTAAACAAGTGTCAAAAATTACATAATTATTTGCTGCAAGTATACTTTTGATACAAAATAAGATTAATTAAAAAGGCGAATTTCGAACAAATGAACTAATTTCTTTAGATAAATACGGAGAGCCGCAACTTTATAGGTATCAAAAGAGCCGCAGGTTGCCGACCCCTGATCTAGGATCACACGTCACACCTGGCAATTTTGATACAAAATAAAAAGGTGGTTAACCTCTTTTCTTTTAAATTCTGACGTTTGAAATTTGTTCTCAATGGTTAATCGATAACTTATCGATAATTATCGATTAATAGATAGTCAATCGATAAATTTAAAAAAAATGGTCGACCGGTCAACAAAAAAAGAATTTTTTTGCGCATGCGATTTGATTGAAAGCTTTCAGGGGCGAAAATTAAAGCTGGAATCTTTGTTTTCCCTAAAAAAAAAAAAAGAAAAATGGAGGGTGATATTTTTCCGCGGTTACTTAGCAAAGAGGAAAAAAAATCCTGGAACAGTTTTAAGGCAATAGTCCATGGTTTCCCGTTCAGTGTTTCCTGGGAAACCATAGAGCTGAAAATTATGATGAGCTGACAGGATTTGGTTTTGTATCATGGGGTATCTCTAAAGAATAAAGATGCACAGGTTACATTCTCATTTAGATCAATTTAAGGATAATATGGGAGCTTATTCGGAATAAGGACAACACTTTCTCGAGACAATGGAACTTAGGCACCTTCCCAAGGCCAGGAAGTTGGAAGCATGATGGAAGATCAGATTCAGTTGAACATGACAAAAACAGCAAAACTGTTCCATTTTTAAACATTTAC